AGGTAAGTCCACTACGGGCTCACCATAGCCCGTGCTACTTGCCCCGCTCCTGTGCCAGGTAAGTCCACTACGGGCTCACCATAGCCCGTGCTACTTGCCCCGCTCCTGTGTCAGGTAAGTCCACTACGGGCTCACCATAGCCCGTGCTACTTGCCCCGCTCCTGTGCCAGGTAAGTCCACTACGGGCTCACCATAGCCCGTGCTACTTGCCCCGCTCCTGTGTCAGGTAAGTCCACTACGGGCTCACCATAGCCCGTGCTACTTGCCCCGCTCCTGTGTCAGGTAAGTCCACTACGGGCTCACCATAGCCCGTGCTACTTGCCCCGCTCCTGTGTCAGGTGAGTTACGGGCTCACCATAGCCCGTGCTACTTGGAACTTGTTCCGAGTAGCTGAATCTATAACAACAACAACATACACTAAGCAATGATAGCAGATGAGGGAGGGGGGGGGGGCATGAATGACCCCCCACCCCCCAGCCATCGTAGTACACATGAATGGGGGGGATAGGGGGGATCGGCGCCCCCAACACCACTCCCCAATCTACTTAGAAACAGTTAACAATAATATATGACTTCTGTCTCACCCCCCTCTCTGCATATAGGTGAGGGGGGGGGGGGGGGAGTGAGAGAGGGGGGGGGTGGTCACTGTTCACCGTCATTCCTATATTATTTACACATCGTATAATATATATCCGGATACACTGTACTGTCATCATTAAGTCCTGCATGAAATGGACCGCTTACACGCCTTCCAGAACTGGTCCAGCGGTTTACACATGTTCCAGACCTTCCACTGGACCAGCGGTTTACACATGTTCCAGACCTTCCACTGGACCAGCGGTTTACACATGTTCCAGACCTTCCACTGGACCAGCGGTTTACACACGTGTTCCAGACCTTCCACTGGACCACCAGTTTACACACGTGTTCCAGACCTTTCTCTGGTCCAGCAGTTTACACACGTGTTCCAGACCTTTCTCTGGTCCAGCGGTTTACACATGTTCCAGACCTTCCACTGGTCCAGCGGTTTACACATATGTTCCAGACCTTCCACTGGACCACCAGTTTACACACATGTTCCAGACCTTCCACTGGACCACCAGTTTACACACATGTTCCAGACCTTCCACTGGACCACCAGTTTACACACATGTTCCAGACCTTCCACTGGACCAGCAGTTTACACACATGTTCCAGACCTTCCACTGGACCAGCAGTTTACACACATGTTCCAGACCTTCCACTGGACCAGCAGTTTACACACATGTTCCAGACCTTCCAAGAGACGCAGAAACCTCCAGGCGATCAGCACATAATAACACTTCAAACAATCTAAGCTCATTACCACACTACATTCCCCATGTGTAATGTTTCCACACACTGTCTTTCAAGACGCTTCATGTGTCTACAAAGAAACACGACACACGAATCTCCCACGTATTAACAACTGAGACCTTCCAGCGCTCTTCCTTCCGTCCCAAAGAGCGAAAGACACATACGCCCTCTTCCGAGGGGTTACACCGAAAGCACGAGATCACAGGTAAGTGGATCAGGAGACACATACACACACACACACACACAGGTAGTAAGGGTGGGCGGAGCGCGCAGCACCCTCCTCGCTCACTGGCGGATACATACACACTGACTGGGAGTAAGTTTTCATTTGTGGGAGTAGAGGACGACAGTGGCGCCGCCACCAGCAGCGGCCTCTCCACACACTCACATACAGTGTTGATGGTGTTCCGAAGTAGCACGGGCTATGGTGAGCCCGTAGTGGCCGTACCCTAAGCACAGGAGCAGGGGCTGTGACTCTGCATACTTTGTCTATACATAGTCTATACCGAGAAGAATATATTCATGATGTATACTTTATCTCAGGAAACCATACACAATCTAAAATTAAAAGAAGTTGTGAAACCGATCGAACAACAGTCATACACTTGGCAATACAGCTTTACAACAGTCATACACCCGGGCATACAGCTTTACAACAGTCATACACCCGGGCATACAGCTTTACAACAGTCATACACCCGGGCATACAGCTTTACAACAGTCATACAATCAATAATACACAAATAATGTCAATCAATAATATGATTCACAGTCTAATTGACAGCTTATATCAGCTCCCAATCAACAGGAAAAGTCAGCACCTTGATAACTAGGTAGCCAGGAGAAGCCCCCTCACAGAACTATGGCTCCGCGGCACACAGCAGTTGCTGGGAACTGTGGCACTGCTGTACACAGCAGTTACTGGGAACTGTGGCACTGCTGCACACAGCAGTTACTGGGAACTGTGGCACTGCTGCACACAGCAGTTACTGGGAACTGTGGCACTGCTGCACACAGCAGTTACTGGGAACTATGGCACCGCGGCGCTAACTTCGCTCAGCGTAACAATCTCTGAAGAGTGCCAATTATAATTACAAACACAGTCTCAGCCAGCAGACAACATGGGTGAGGAGCAGCTGCTGCTGCTACTGCTGCTGCTGCTACTGCTGCTGCTGCTGCTACTGCTGCCTCTTTAGACAGCTGTTGGCACCACTGTGGTGTAGTCTGCGATGACCTGGCTCTGTGGCACAGTGCCTGTGAGGACAGGTCTCGTGTGAATATGCTGTAATATGGCATTACATCAACACAGGACCTACTACACCTCCAGCCTGTTGTAGGTCGTCTTCCAGGACTCCACTACACCTCCAGCCTGTTGTAGGTGGTCTTCCAGGACTACATTACACCTCCAACCTGCTGTAGGTGGTCTTCCAGGACTCCACTACACCTCCAACCTGCTGTAGGTGGTCTTCCAGGACTCCACTACACCTCCAGCCTGTTGTAGGTCGTCTTCCAGGATCCACTACACCTCCAGCCTGTTGTAGGTCGTCTTCCAGGACTCCACTACACCTCCAACCTGCTGTAGGTGGTCTTCCAGGATCCACTACACCTCCAGTCTGTTGTAGGTCGTCTTCCAGGACCCAATACCTGTTGTAGGTCCTCCAGCCTGTTGTAGGTCGTCTTCCAGGACCCAATACACCTCCAGCCTGTTGTAGCTCAAGTTGTCAAAGACCCAACACGCCTCCAACCTTCTAGTGGTGTGAGATGAACCAATATGATGCTCAATGGAGATACTCCCCACCCTCTGAGCTATGGGAAAAACGCGTCAATTAACACAGGCACAATACACTTATCGTGGCCAAGTGATAAGAGAGGGAAGCCATCGTGTAACAGCTCTGGGAACAACCATTCCAGAGACTGTGACGTCTCAAGGCCATAGTGAATTGTCGCAATTGCAAGAAAATTAAGTGGCTGGCTAACTAGAGCCTTTCAAACAAGATATGTTTACATAGCAGCTGCTCCAGTTAAAACATGTGAACCTACTGACCTGGAGACTGAATTGAGAGCATTTTACTGCACAAATGCATTAAATAAATCACTTAAATTATGGGGAACGCGCAAAAATGCCTCAATTTGTATTCCTTGGAGCGCCGGCGAGTGGCGGTTACTCATCATCTACACCTGGCAAACGTTACAGGGAACTGCTGCCAATCTGCCCACTGAAATAGTGCCATACGACCTCCAGGAACCAGAGAGGTTGGAATGCAGCAAATTCAACCCTCACCCCCCCCCCTACAGCTGTATGTGAGGTCGGGGGGGGGGGGGGGTGAGAAGTGGAGTTTCAACCCACCAATTCTACATGTTTGGAGAATGATTAACAAAGCTCTAATTGTGGTAAAGGAGGTAGTTTACAACCACACCCCCCCCCCCAGCAGGGGAATACCTGACCAGTTTAGGGTGACCCTTGAGACACCAAGGGACACCACGTTTAGTTTAAGGTCAATAGACACTTAAGATCAATAGTCACTTAGGGTTCAATAGTCTCAGACTAATTCAGAATCTAAATTTTATGCTAGATAGTCATACTAGTTTACCTCTATATCCTCTAATTAACTCAACATCTAACTTCAATCTCACCTATCTTACAATTCTTTCAATTCTTTCTCCGTGGTGTAGTGGTAAGACACTCGCCTGGCGTTCCGCGAGCGCTATGTCATGGGTTCGTATCCTGGCCGGGGAGGATTTACTGGGCGCAATTCCTTAACTGCAGCCTCTGTTTAACGCAACAGTAAAATGTGTACTTGGATGAAAAAACGATTCTTCGCGGCGGGGATCGTATTCCAGGGACCATAGGATTAAGGACTTGCCCGAAACGCTACGCGTACTAGTGGCTGTACAAGAATGTAACAACTCTTGTATATATCTCAAAAAAAAAAAAAAAAAAAATAATTCAGGCTACTTCAGATTCCTGGCTAATGCGCTCACTGGCACTCATCAAGAGACAGGAAACTCCAAATATACACTTTGAGTCGTCAAGGTAATCGAGACCACTACATCAGGCAGATCTTATAATTCCCACACACCTTGCAGAAATGTCAACAATAAGGAGATCTGGAGGACTGAGGTGGTAGCCAAGCCGATGATGTGTACCTGAGAGGGTGGTTGAGTTCTGGCTCTTTGGTCCCGCCTCTCAACCGTCAATCAACTGGTGTACAGGTTCCTGAGCCTACTGGGGGCTATCATATCTACATTTGAAACTGTGTATGGAGTCAGCCTCCACCACATTACTGGCTAATGCATTCCATTTGTTAACCACTCTGACACTAAAAAAGTTCTTTCTAATATCTCTGTGGCTCATTTGGGCACTCAGTTTCCACCTGTGTCCCCTTGTGCGTGTGCCCCTTACCTTGTGCGTGTGTGTGTGTGTGTGTGTGTGTGTGTGTGTGTGTGTGTACAGTTCCTGAGCCATGTGTGTGTGTGTGTGTGTGTGTGTGTGTGTGTGTGTGTGTGTGTGTGTGTGTGTGTGTGTGTGTGTGTGTGTGGACAGTTTTAACTTTGCAGATATCGAAAGATTGCGTAAATATAGACAAAACTCCATTATCGAGCTGATTATCTTAAGGATGGTGTAGATAGCGTACTCCTATGTACAGTGTGTACTTAACCGCATCATGCGGTCACTCCTAGTTACAGTGGACCGTACAGGAGTACTCAAGTGCCGGAATAGCTTCGGTCTTTCTCCAATTACTACAACTTCTAATGCCCCTAACATGTCTACCACCAATAATGCTTCACTCACTACTGTTACTTCCATAAGGTTGCCAGCGAAGTGGACCGGCCGCCAGCGAAGTGGACCGGTCCCCAGCGAAGTGGACCGGCCGCCAGCGAAGTGGACCGGTCCCCAGCGAAGTGGACCGGCCGCCAGCGAGGTGGACCGGCCGCCAGCGAAGTGGACCGGCCGCCAGCGAAGTGGACCGGTCCCCAGCGAAGTGGACCGGCCGCCAGCGAAGTGGACCGGTCCCCAGCGAAGTGGACCGGCCGCCAGCGAGGTGGACCGGCCGCCAGCGAAGTGGACCGGTCCCCAGCGAATTGGACCGGCCGCCAGCGAGGTGGACCGGCCGCCAGCGAAGTGGACCGGCCGCCCGCGAAGTGGACCGGTCCCCAGCGAAGTGGACCGGCCGCCAGCGAAGTGGACCGGTCCCCAGCGAACCGGCCGCCAGTGGACCGGCCGCCAGCGAGGTGGACCGGCCGCCAGCGAAGTGGACCGGACCCCAGCGAATTGGACCGGCCGCCAGCGAGGTGGACCGGCCGCCAGCGAAGTGGACCGGCCGCCAGCGAGGTGGACCGGCCGCCAGCGAAGTGGACCGGCCGCCAGCGAAGTGGACCGACCGCCAGCGAAGTGGACCGGCCGCCAGCGAAGTGGACCGGCCGCCAGCGAAGTGGACCGGCCGCCAGCGAAGTGGACCGGCCGCCAGCGAAGTGGACCGGCCGCCAGCGAAGTGGACCGGCCGCCAGCGAAGTGGACCGGTCCCCAGCGAATTGGACCGGCCGCCAGCGAAGTGGACCATGCCACCCATCTGAGGTTTGTGGTCCATTCGAGTAATTGTGTTTGCGATGTTGTGAATTAGACTGGAGTGGCTGCATAGCTGAGTGGTGACTGGTGTGTGGGGGGGGGAGGTGGTGCTTGCCTGTCACTGACTACAAGGCAGTGAGCTTTAGCTCATGGTCCCCCGCCTACCAGCCTTGTTGCACCTGTTTTACCTATTCTGACGTTTGGAGTTATTTGTGGGATCTGGCTTGAAAGTTATGGAGGTGGCTAGCCAGTCAAGGCCCGAGTATGTCCTTACATTCCTCTTGCTTTGCTTTCTCTCGCTTTAAAGAGGCTCTTCTTTTTCACTTTATCTCTTCCCCACGATATCATGTATGTTGTGATCATGTCCTCTCTGTTCCTTCTGTCTTGCCACTAGGGACAGAAAACGGTGTACTTTGTACGGTGTACGTTAAATGCCCGAACCTAACCTACCCGAGCGACACACCCCTATTAAACGTGAATGTCATATTTCGTCCGTTGGGGAATTTTGACGTCAAAATGCAATATATATTATTCGATAAGACAGGTTGTGAAAGCAGTGTTTCACAGTCAATCATGCTGTGATTCACGTGTCAGGCTGCGAGCAGCCGCGTCCAACAGCCTGGTTGACCAGTCCAGCAACCAGGAGGCCTGGTCGAGGACCGGGCAGCAGGGACGCTAAGGCCCGGAAGCACCTCAAGGTAACCTCAAGGTAGGAACCCTCAACTTGTCCTCATAACTCAACCCTCTTAGCTCCGGACAATTTCTTACAAATTACGTCTGAATTTGGCCGTTTGTCCGTATGGCTGAAAAATGGACGTAATTTAAAAATGAAAAATGATTGAAAATAAATTGTAGAATTTTATTTTCTCCAAAACGGTAAATTAAGGATCCTCTGGTTAGGTTAGGAGGACAGGAATTTCCCCCTAAGGTTTCAAAATGTCTTGAAAACGGTTAATTGAAAGTTTCCTCTCCTAACTTTACCCAGTAAGCCAGAGGACCTTAAACAGAAAACGGGACAGCACGCCCGTCAATTTCGTGAGCCGATTTTATTTCAACTTACGTCTATTTTTGAGCACACGAGCGAAAAGCGACGTAATTTTAAGAGGATGGGTTGGGTGGGGAGGTGGTTGTGGTGGTAGGAAACCAATGTATGGTTAGTCAAGGTTGCCACCCCCCCTTCCACCCACAACTTCGCAACACTACAGAGACCATTAGGGTCACCACACCATTAGGGGTCACCACACCATTAGGGAGGGGTCACCACGCCATTAGGGGTCACCACACCATTAGGGGTCACCACGCCATTAGGGGTCACCACACCATTAGGGGTCACCACGCCATTAGGGGTCACCACGCCATTAGGGGTCACCACGCCATTAGGGTCACCACACCATTAGGGGTCACCACACCATTAGGGTCACCACGCCATTAGGGGTCACCACGCCATTAGGGGTCACCACGTGCTTGCTTCTCCAACAATTAGGTATTCGCTCTAGAGGTCAAGTAAAAGTTACACCTCAGCCGCTTTCAAGATGGTACACATACCCGCACACAAACATACACACCTACACACACACACATGCATGCAGACACACATACGTACACAAAGAGCCAGAGCTCAACCCCCACAAGCACAACTACGTGAGTACACAAACATGTACCCGAACACACACACACACACACACACACACACACACACACACACACACACACACACACACACACACACACACACACACACACACACACACACACACACACACACACACACACACACACACACACACACACACATGACACACGAAACATATGACCTGAGAATGAATACAACAACAATCCTAACTTGGAGGCACATATATAAACTACATAAAATCAGCGGCATATTCGACAGTAATAAAAAGTCAGAACATCGTTCAAAAACCGAAATAAGGAGACATTCAGATCACTGTACACCACCAACGTGATGTACAGTGAGAGAGAGAGAGAGCGAGAGAGAGAGAGAGAGAGAGAGAGAGAGAGAGACATAAAATACCTTGAAGGACAGGCAGAGTGAAAAAGAAAAAAGGTTCACAATATAATAAAGAATACCAATAGACCCGAGAGGGAGAGTAGGAGGAATCTTGAGACACAGATGAACCACAGAGATGCTAAGTTGCTTCTGAGCGTAGGTGTAGACGCCAAGTTCATAATTCCAAAATTAGATATGACAGGACAATAAGTTGGGAGTCATTGCATTAGACAACAGGTTGCACCCCCTGGAATAACATCGCGTGCACACACACACACACACACACACACACACACACACACACACACTAATGGGGGGGGAGTGTTTCTTTCACCTTGATGCACCTGTTCACCTAGCAGTAAACAGGTACCTGGGAGTTAGACAGCTGCAACGGGCTGCTTCCGGTGGGGGGGGGGGGTGTATACTCACCTAGTTGTACTCATCTAGTTGTGCTTCCGGGGGTTGGGCTCTGGCTCTTTGGTCCCGCCTCTCAACTGTCAATCAACAGGTGTACAGGTTCCTGAGCCTATTGGGCTCTATCATATCTACACCTGAAACTGTGTATGGAGTCAGCCTCCACCACATCACTTCCTAATGCATTCCATTTGTCAACCACTCTGACGCTAAAAAAGTTCTAGCTAATATCTTTATGG